ACGTTCGTGCTTGTAAAAGCAGAGAGGTCGTACAATCTCATTGGTTCTTGTGGTGGCGGAAGCGTCATCTAAAAAGTGGTGTCATTATTTAAGGAAAATATTCCTTATACACGTGTGTGCAAGTATAATTTTTTCTAAAAAAAAAAGATATATATACAATAGGTTGATATCGTTTGAAAATAATATAGATAAATAATAATTTGAGAGAATAAGTCAAAATTTAACATTAATATAGTTCTCGACCCAAACACACTTATAAAACACTTGGGTAAAATCTTGCCCTCGTCATTTGCTTCTTGTATACATTTTTCTATGTTCTACATATTTCTTGTGAATTTAGTTGATTTATATTCTTCTTCGTTGACCTAAAGACCTCAATAAAACCAGCAATTACATCAATCTGTAATTCTATATACTCTTTTAACTGAATATGTTTTGTGATCTAAATTAAGAACACATCTTCTTAGCATTTCCAAAAGTACCATATTAAATAGCACTTTCTCGGTTGCATCATACGTGAACCTATTGATTGGATACCATGTTATGACCAAATACCGATCAATAACTTCTTGTAATATTAGATAACTTTAAAATTTGATTATGGTATAATATTGGTCAAATTCTGCTTTTCCTTATTGTGAAATTTTAAGTGCTTAATTCTAATATATGAATGTTTTAACATTTATGGAGTATTTAACTTAACTGTCACTAACTCACAAAAGTTTGTATGAACAATTATATGTAACGTATTTAGTTGTTTGATACGTGCATCAAGTGAAAATAGGGTTGTTGAACACTTCATTTACTTCATGTGACATAATGCATTACGAAATGGTAGTAAATAACAGATTTATTGTACCTATCATCCCCCAACCTGTTTCCTTGCATTTATCTTCCTAGTTTTTGCAACATACACATGTTCTCTTTTAACAGTGTGAAACCTGGAAACTTATCTATTTATTTATTTAGTTCCCTTTTGCACCTTGGGTTTAAAATCAAAGGATTTTTTCATTCCTATACACTATTTAAAACCTTATTACGAAAAATATCCATGTTTTGGTATTTATCCCACCTAAACACACTTTAGTTACTGTATAGGTCCAAATTTGGTCGACCACGACTACTGTCGAATACGACACGAGACGAGGTCTTCACGACACGACGTCCTGTGGCCGTTGAAGACGGCGGCGATCGATAGCGGTTAACGGACGCACGACCTTTGCAGTAGTATAGGCCCAACATGTGGCAATAGGAATATATTTTCGAATATTCTTTATGACATGTCTTTTAGGGTTCAGGAGGGATTGTCCCTTATATATAGTGAGTAGAAACTCTTGTAAAGGGGACGAACTTTTGGTTAAGAGCACCCATTGTAATATCTTTCTACATTCTAGGTTGTCATTTTCAACGCTTAATCATTCGGTTCCACGAGATCAATAAATATTATCTACCTTATTCATCCCTTGGGTCTTTCATTTTAGAGTTTATTATACTTAACTGAGATTTACCCCTTCATCTTCTTTAATTGATTTAATAAAAAAGGTTTCAATATCTTTTGGGTCAAACAATTTGGCGTCGTCTATGGGGATTTCTTTAGCTAAGATTATAGTTTCATCTAGACTCCTGAAAGGGATAATCACTTCTTCCGAGCTAGGTACAAACCAACAATGGCGGGGAAAGGAGATGCAAGGCAAAAAGCCATAGTAGGCGTCACAACCAACCTCCTAGACACCATCAACGAAGATAGCAGAGAGGATCACGAAAATGAAACACCAAACATCACACCCCAGGGAGATACTTCACCTCCCCGCACGAAAGCGTGACTGCTTCACGCGAAAGGGAAGCCTCCACATCTGCAACGGGAGAGCCACCATCGGTAGTAAGAAGACTGCTAGAATAATGGCTAACACGTGCTCTAAACACCATACTTGATAAACCCGCCCAAAGGGATGATAGGAATGTGGCACATGCAGATGTCACGATAAACGAGGGTGAGCAAGATGCCCTCCGTATAGGTAACACTTATGTTGCTAGTGATGTAGGTAATGATACTCTTGCAGGCGTTTTAAAGAAAATTGAGGAGATGGAAAATGAGAATAAGGCACTCCATGACCATATGAAGGGACACCAAGAGAGAGTTGACAAAATACCAAGCGCTCCAAAGTTGCTGCCAAAACGCGATGTTGGTCAATTCATCGAGCAACCATACAGTGAAGAAGCGCCCCCCTACACCATTCCAAAGACCTTCAAAATGCCGCCCTACTTAAAGATATATGATGGTACTACCGATCCAGAAGACCACATCATCCACTACGTTATAGCCATAAAAGGCAACGATCTCTCAAAAGAGCAAGTACCATCGGAGCTATTGAAAAAGTTCGGCGAAACCTTAATAGGGGGAGTCTTGATATGGTACTCTCAACTACCAGCACGCTCGATAGCAACATTCGAGGAAATGGCAGACAAATTCGTCACCGCCTATGCAGGAGCTAAAAAGGCAAAGGCTAGGGTAAATGATATATTTGCCGTAAGACAGATGCACGACGAGGGACTCAAGGACTTCTTAGCTCGGTTCAACAGGGTGAGAATGAGCTTGCTGAATATGTTAGAAGGAATGGCAGTAGCAGCCTTCCAGAACGGATTAAACAGAAACAGATCGAGAGTGACCAGAAAATTGCTAAGCAGGCTCATGAATACCCCCCAACTACTTGGGAAAAAATCCATAACGCCTACTACGCTGAGGTACGAGCCGACGAGGACGATCTCAACGGCTCGACCCAACGGTTGATGTCACTTCAAACCAAAGCAAGGAAAGATCGTCGCAATGACGGTCGAAGAGATTAGTTGGGGTCCTGCCTCGGCCAGGAAAGACATCAACCCTACGTCAGGACGTCTGCCCCACCTCCACCACGGCATGCAGATGCTCTTCCTCGATATACGACACTATATCGACATAAGAAAGGTATGCCTCCACTCCTATCTTCTCACAATTTTTGTGTTTCTCCTTCAGAAATAATGTACGCCCTAGAGAAACTCGGTCCAAAGGTGCAATGGCCGCAAAAGATGAGGTCAGACCCCAGCACCCAAAAGTCAAGAGCTTTCTGTGAATTTCACCAAGATAGGGGTCACAAAACTGAAAATTGCATAGGACTGCGATAGAAAGTAGTACGAATGCTAAACCAGGGTCACCTGAAGGAGCTACTGAGCGATCGAGGACGAACTAATTTCGCCTGCGGACGCGAACAGCCCCAAGGACCTCCAAAACCACCTTCTCCCACTCGCACCATACAGATGATCAACGGCGGGGGTGACGACGCAACGATCAATCATGTCAAGTTCACCACCACACATAAACTCAAACGATCAATCACCCACGAACGATATGATGACCTCGAAGATAGTATCATCTCCGATAAGTCAGATACCGATGGTTTGTCTTTCCCTCACTATGATGCTCTTGTTATCACTTTACGTATCGCAGATACTGATGTAAAAAGAATAATGTTAGATGACGGGAACGACACATGTATTATCCATCCTCGAGTCCTCGTGCAGATGAGACTCGAAGATAAAACAATACCGCATTGTATAATGCTAACAGGTTTTAATAATGTAGTTGAACGGACTTCTAGAGAGATAGTGCTACCCGTCCTAGCTGGAGGATCACCCTGGAAATGACATTTCACGTCAAGAACCAGGAAACAACTTACAACTCCATCATAGGGCACCCGTGGATACACCCCATGCGAGCGGTCCCTTCCAGTCTATATCAAGTGATCAAGTTTCCTACCTCATGGGGACTATTCAACATTTGAGGGATCAACACACCGTACAAGAATGCTACCGCATCGCCCAAGATTGTGCACACACCCAACAACTCAAAGGAGCAAATGCGGAAGCATATTAATCAGCAATGTCGGGAGCCAAACTTGAAGTGCAGGCAGACGTTATCAAGCAGCCCGACATCGTGGAAGCATCTGAATCAATGATAGAAAATCTTGATCCCGTCTTGCTAGACGACAACGATAGCAAAAAAGGCTTATATTGGGCACAACCTCTCGGAACTAGATAAATTTCATAAGTTCTTGATTGACCATGCCGATCTATTTCCTTCTCCCATACAGATATGCCAGGCATCCCAAAAGATATTGCCACCCACAAGTTAAACGTCGACCCCCTTTACCCGTCGGTACAGAAAATGAGAAGGAAGTTCAACGCCGTAATCAACGAAGTCGTCAGCGAAAAGGTCGATAAGCGACTCGCAAATGGCTCCATCTGGGAATCGAAATATCCTCAATAGGTCGCCAATGTGGTCATGGTGAAAAAGAAAAACGGAAAGTGGCGGATGTGTGTAGATTTCACGAACCTAAACAAGGCATGTCCGAAAAATTCTTTTCCATTGCCAACATCGACCAGCTCATCGACACAACAGCAGGACAAGAGATGCTAAGCTTTTTGGATGCCTATTCGTATTACAATCAGATCCTCATGGAAGAAGAAGACCAGGAAAAAACCACTTTCATCACTCACCAGGGAACATACTGCTACAAAGTGATGCCGTTTGGACTAAAGAATGCAAGGGCGACATATTAGAGATTGGTCACCAAAATGTTCAAAAACCAACTCGGTAAAACAATGGAAGTCTACATCGACGATATGCTGGTTAAGTCGAAAAGGAAAGAAGATCATATCGGTCATCTGAAGGAAGCCTTTGACATATTAAGACGGTAGGGCATGAAACTAAACCTCGAAAAATGCGCCTTCAGTGTAAGCTCGGGAAAGTTCCTTGGTTTCCTAGTGTCACAAAGAGGCATCGAGGTCAACCCAAAATAGATTAAGGCCATCGAAGGAATACCCAAAACACTGACCAACAAAAAGCAGGTACAAAAATTGACAGGACGAATAGCCGCCCTGTCTAGGTTCATCTCACGGTCATCGGATAGGTGCCATAAATTCTTTAATGTATTAAGGAAAGACAATGGGTTCCATTGGAATGCAGAATGCGTCGACGCCCTAAGGAAACTAAAAGCATTCTTGTCTTCGTCACCCTTACTCGCCAAAGCAGACTCAGGCGAGTGCCTCCTAGTCTACCTAGCGTATCTGAAGTTGCGGTAAGTGCAGTTCTAGTCCGAGAAAACCAAGGTACGCAATCTCCATTTTACTATATCAGCAAAACCTTAATTGACGCCGAAACAAGGTACCCCCACCTTGAAAAACTGGCTCTGGCGCTAGTCGTAGCTTCACGAAAGCTTAGACCATATTTTCAGTGCCACCCCATAAAGGTGGTGAACACCTTTCCTCTCAGGAGTATCCTACAGAAACCCAAATTATCGGGTCGGCTGGCCAAATGGGCCAACGAACTAAGAGAGCACGATATAACATATCAATCACGAACCGTAATAAAGTCGCAAGGGCTCGCTGACTTCATCCTCGATTTCAGCGTAAAGATACTGCCCAAAGTCGAACAAGAAGCACTTTACACTTCATTTGAACGATCTGACCTCTAGGTCCTCTACACTGATGGTGCATCCAACGCATTGGGATCGGGACTGGGACTCGTACTCAAAGTCCCAACGGGCAAATTAATTCGTCAATCTGTACGATACCCTGAAATAACTAATAATGAGGCCGAGTATGAGGCCGTAATTGCAGGATTGAAATTGGCCCTCAAGCATGGTGCTCGGTGGGTCATCCTCTGCTGCGACTCTCAACTCATTGTGAACCAAGTTACTGGGAATTTCCAAATTAAGGAGCAAAGGTTGCAGAAATACCAAATCGAAATCCACAAACTACTGCCATAATTCGACGAATGCCGATTCGACCAAATACCCCAAGCACAAAACATCAAAGTAGACGGTATCGCCAAGCTGGCAGCAATAACTAAAAATATCACCAAGGAGAACGTGGTCACCCTCCTCCACTCATCAATAGACCAAGTCGAGGTACATTATATAAATTTAACTTGGGATTGGCATAATCGCATCATACCATACCTACAAGAAGGAACACTCCCACAAGATAAAAAAGAAGCAAAAAAGCTCTGAATATGAGCGGCCAGATACAATCTCATAAACCACGACCTTTACAAAAGGACGTTCGGTGGCCCGTTAGCCAAATGCCTCAGACCCAATCAGACAAGACGTATGCTGGAAGAGGTACACGAAGGCCACTGCGGCGCCCATACCGGCAATCGAGCCCTCGTTAGGTGTCTTATTCGTGCAGGATACTACTGGCCCACAATGAAAAAAGAGGCCGCGGAGTACGTCAAGAAATGTGAGCAATGCTAGAAATACGCCCCTATGATACACCAGGCGGGGGAACTCCTGCATTTCATCACCTCTCCATGGCCGTTTATAAAATGGGGGATGGATATCGTTGGGCCAATCCCAGTAGGGCGAGGTAAGATACGCTTCCTTTTGGTTTTTACTGACTATTTTTCCAAATGGGTGGAAGCAGGTGCGTTCGCTCAAATACGTGAACAAGAAGTCATCACGTTCATCTGGAAAAACATTATATGCCACTTCGGCATCCCCAAAGAAATAAGTTGCCATAACGGACCCCAGTTTGTCGGGAAAAGACGACTGAGTTTTTCAAAAAATGGCATATCAAGCAGATACTCTCCACGCCATTTCATCCTGCCCTGTAACGGTCAAGCAGAATCCTCCAATAAAACAATATTAAACATATTAAAGAAAAATCTTGAAGATGCCAAAAGGCTATGACCAGAACTGTTACCGGGGGTGCTATGGGCCTACCGCACAACGCCGAAGACCAGCACAGGTGAGACACCATATTCATTGGTCTACGGCACCGATGTAGTCATACCCGTTGAGGTTGGGGAACCTAGCCTGAGATACTCCAATGAGAGTGGATCAAGCAACGACGAAAGCAGGTTACAAGACCTGGATGAGGTCGAAGAATGAAGGGATATGGCACACATAAGAATGGTGGCCCAAAAACAACAAGCAGAAAGGTATAATAACAAGAAGGCCAAAGTACGACCACTCAGAGTCGGGGACTACGTACTAAATGCCAAAACACAAGCAGCGAAGGATCCGCATAAAGGGAAACTAGGAACACATTTGGACGGGCCGTACAAAATCACAGCAGCAACAAGTAAATAAGCATTCCAACTAGAAACAATGGAAGGGAAACTATTACAAAATAACTGGAATGTCACCCACCTCAAGTACTTCCACTTCTGAAAAAACGCCGCCCGAGTCGTACTCTTTTTCCCTCGCTCGGGTTTTGTCCCAATTGGGTTTTCTCGGGGAGGTTTTTAATGAGGCAACGAGAGGGACGTCTCAAGGTTCGAAGTATTTTTCATTGCCCCGCCTACCAATTACATCTCCAGACCGAGCAATGAAGGGACTAGATATAAAGAATCTCCATTATATGTACGAAATCGACATGTATATCCGACATATGAATAAAATCACTCCATTATGTATACGAAATCAACACGCATCTCCAATGTATGAATGAAACTGGCATCCACGATACTCCAACAAATAAAATAGAACGCCACCCTCACGACGGGATATTACTTCGGCACCAGCTCGAAAGAAACATCCCAACGGCTAAGGCCATCAACAAAAAATGAGTTCAACATCACTCAAACCACAACGGGATATTACTTCGGCGCCAACTCGAAAGTAATATCCCAATGGCTAAGGCCATCGACAAAAAATGAGTTCAACATCACTCAAACTACGACGGGATATTACTTCGGCGCCAACTCAAAAGTAACATCCCAATGGCTAAGGACATCGACAAAAAACGAGTTCGATATCACTCAAACCACGACGGGATATTACTTCGGCGCCACCTCGAATGTAACATCCCAATGGCTAAGGCCATCGACAAAAAATGAGTTCGATATCACTCGAACCACGACGAGATATTACTTCGGCGCCAGCTCGAAAGTAACATCCCAATGGCTAAGGCCATCGAGAAAAAATGAGTTCGACATCACTCGAACCACGACGGGATATTACTTCGGCGCTAACTCGAAAGTAACATCCCAATGGCTAAGGCCATCGATAAAAAATGAGTTCAACATCACTCGAACCACGACGGGATATTATTTCGGCACCACCTTGAAAGTAACATCCCAATGGCTAAGGCCATCGACAAAAAACGAGTTCAACATCACTCAAACCACGATGGGATATTACTTCGGCACCAGAGTTCAACTAAACTCACTACAATAAGTTTAGCATTTCAATAAAGCATCGGAGTGACGTAATTGCGGCAGAAGTCGTCATCAAACAAACCAAAGAAAGGAAACGACTCAGAGATGTACGACCAAAACAACCTTAATTTACAGAAAATATGTTACAAATATTTGTCTTTACAAAGGGCTCAAAGATGCCCTTACAAAAATCGTGAAGCAAAAAGTAAGTACAAAACAAATACTACACATCATTTCCTATGGCATACACGACTTCGTACCAAGAGTCGGAGGCGAGCCTGTTTGCATAATCAAAATTAATATCATCTCCGTCAGGCGAGATAGGATCGTACCCACATGCCAGACGAGCTGCACGAGCCTTGGCGCGTACATCCCGAAACTCCACTTCAGATGCCCTCCCATCAACATGAAGAGCCTTGTACACATCAAGCTGAGCCTCAGCATGAACCCATAACTCATATAAATGTCGAAGCACGACAGGATCAACAGGAGTATAAGATGAAGGTTACGTCTATCGTCGTACATTCTCCGCTTTCAAAGAATCCACTTGCTTGTTCAATGCAGACAGTTCCTCCTCCAACCCTTGAATACGCCCCTCAAGTTCCACTGTCTTAAGCGCAAACGTCTCTATCTCCTTAGTCCGCTCTAACCTACAAACACGGAGTGCATCTTCTAAAACCGCCGCCTCAGAAACGGCAGTCTCCCTCTCCCTCTCAGTATGGGCCAATCTATCAGCATTCACACTCAACTCACCCTTAAGCTCATCGACCTCAGCCGTCTTCATATCCAGTTCGGTAGTTAAACTGGATACTTTTGCTTGAAGATCGGCATTTTCAGCCACTACTCCCCTACTTAACTCGAGCTCATCTTCCCTAGCTCTGAGGGTTGCCTCAAGCTCACTGCTACGGGCAACGGGCTTTCATAATGTCCTCATCTCGTTCCTTCAACTCCTCGACCTTACGCGACAGTTGATCCTCCTTCTGCTTGAGCCCTTCACGTAATAGTTGGAAGTCGCGATTCTGATTGTAGAAGTCGACCATCGCACAATGCTTGGTGCGATATTCTTGGTACTTGGAAGACATCTTTCCATAGATGGTGGTCTTCCTCCTTTCCCAAAACTCACGCTCGATCTCCATAATGAGGGTCTAGTACGAGAAATAAAGTTAGAACAAATAAGTCAAAAATGGCAACGCAGATCCAACGACGAAATAAAAAGAAAGACATTTACCCGTAGAGACATGCTAGAAAGAGACAACTCCGCATCACTTATTGCTTTAAGTGACTCGCTCTCAGTGGCAGCTCATAAAAGGGGCAAAAATGGATGCCACCTGATCACAGTCCGACAGCAACTCGTAGTCCTCAGAAACGACTATGTGTTGATCAGAACCCTTCATTTGACCTCTACGTGAGTGTGATGCTCCAAAAACTCACGAACATCCCCTGGGTCGACGTTAGAGCCTGAGTCGTCGCCCGACAATGGATGATGCGCCACCCTCGGTGGAGAACACAGACCCCCCTCCTTGATAAACCCCTTCTGTTTGGGGAGATCTCCCCGCCAAGATGGCATCGGCCATAAATATGGGTACCGGTGCCGTCTCCAATGCACCCGTCCTATTCTTACCCATATCAATGGTCACGCTCTTCCCAAGCTCTATCCTACTCTTTTTTTCTCAACGAAATTCGTCCCCATTAGAGGACTCATCTACGAGATGATGGACAGGTAGAGAAGGGATCCCCACTCACAACCATATCCCGAGAGGGTTCCCTCGCCTGTACCGACTGAGCATGACCCTCCCAAGCAGACTCATCCAAAGTGAATTTCATTCCTGCGGAGGCGATAGCCTGACGAAATACAGGGACGGGGATAGCCGAAGAGTCGTATCAATAGACGATGTTATATAGCCGAAGAGTGATACAGAGGAAGACACTTACCATATGAAACTTTTGGCCCAAAACATTTCACGAAAGCGGGCCAGTTTCGAGTCTCCGCTGCATGGGGCAGCAGACGGGCAGCCCAATCCCTTATACCTGCTATGGGATGGGGTGGATTCCCCATAGCTGCAAAAGAGAGTCGCAAATAAATACTAAGGTGAATGAAGTAGAAAAGAAAGAGTAAAAAAGTGGCGACACTTACGATTCTCATTCCACTGCTCCGGTAATCTAGCAGGGTCAGACATGATGTGTTCAGTTCTAATGAAGAAGTATTTATACCAAAATTTGTGACTCGCCCGGTCATCGGTTCCAACCACCGGCCCTTTTGTCCCTCGGTGCCTCAGATGCACCATAGTACCCCTATGAAAGCTGGGTGAAAACAAGTGTAAGAGGTGGTGGACGGTAACTTCGCACCCCGCCAACTCCACATATTTTGTCAACAACATGAGTATTTTGAGCGTGTACGGGAAAAGTTGCACTGGAAAAACCAGATAAAATCAACAGAATTCTTCCGCTAATGGGAGAAGGGGAAGGAATGACCAATCACAAAGGGGTACTCATAAAAAGCACAGTACCCCGGTTTATGGACTTATACGAAGTCCCTTCCCGCTGGAACCATCTCAATGACTTGCTTAGTTTCAGAGAATACTAAGGCGAGAGTAGGATGAGGATCTT